CCAGTGTCTTCAGTATCAATTTAGGGGGCTCAGTATCTTGAAAGAATTTCTCAAATGTGCACAGGGCAAAAATGGCTTCCCCAAAAATCATTTAATAGATTTAATTGACATAACTGCATTACAGAAAATATTTCAAAATGCTTCTATATGAATATTTAGAAATAAAATGTTCCTGACATGAGGGAATATAGTGGCATAGACTTCCTAGTTTTTAGTATCTGTGTGTATCTGGGATTAAGCAATTTAAGCAGCATTTTCTGAACATGAAAACATGGGATTTACTACAAATATAACACATTCTTTCTCCATTCATTTAATATTTTATATATGAATACAATCAATATGTTTTAGCACATGAATGAAAACTGAGACTCACTTTTAAAAATGCTCTCTTTTCCAAAGCATTCATTATAAAGGGAGGAATGGCTGAAAGCAAAAAAACAAAACACAATACTTGATTAAACCTTTGCAAACACTTTGATTCCTAACAACATTTGTGCAGCCATTTAGAAAACGAGGTCAGAAGCTTGAATACACTTTTATTGCTTCTTACACCATGAAGGTTCAATTACTTATATAGCCTAGTTATGGTAGTTTCAGTATTTAAATGTCTCTAATAATATGTACAAGTATTTTTCATGGACAACTCAGTCTACAGCATGTCTCCCCATTTTGGAGCTGCCTCATCTTCTCTTCCCTCTTGAAGGGCTCCTTTTCTATTTTGCAGAGGCTACAAAGTAGTAGCATCCTTTTCATTCCCTCATTCTGGATCAGAAAGAGCAACCCACTTTCAGTAAGCTTAGAGCACGTGTTAGTGGGAGCCACTAACAGCAGCAAGTGATATACCCTGGGGTCTCTATGTAACTTGGCATTTATTAGCCTGCCCACCTGAAGTCCAACATTCATTACCAGAGGATGAGTTTAAATTATTTTTTGCAGTCCCTTGTATAAATATGCCAGTTTCAGTAAAATCATCTTAATCGTGAAACCTCAGTGGGTGGCCTATCTCAAGCAGCTACTCCAATTAAAAAGAACCCTATTTTCAAAAATTACTTGTTAAAATTTGAAAGGAAATGAAGGACTATAGTAAAGATTTCACTGCTTTTAATCACAATTGAACCTTCTTTCACCCTCTCCACCCCACTACTACTAGCCTTATGCACCTTTATCATTATTTGAACATATGGGAATTCCACGCACATGTAAAACCTGGCGAAGAGCTCAACAACATGGCACTGGTTAAATGCACACATCGTTATAGCTCTTTCTTTCCTATTTGAACAGAACTATCCTTTCTAATTTCCTCCCTAGAGAAGCATCCCAACAGATTTTCTGTTCGATTTAAGTGCAGCGCATAGAATCTTTGTATTATCCTCTGGGGTGTCTGAGCAGAAGGAAAAAACACCGTCTCCCATTTGAGGAGGGGTGGTGTTTTAGAAAATCATTTATATAGAATTCAATATAAAGAATTTTTCCTACCTTTTTAATTATAAAAGCTTAGGACAATGATTCCATTTCACTGAAATGTACTAACCCATGCCAGGTGCAGCCATGAGAATCCTTGAGATAACCACCTGAGTAATGGCCTGCTGAGCAGCTTTGGTAGATTCACCCAATCTGTTTCCATTTTCATCAGTAACTGGGATACCATATTTCAGTTCCCTGTTGAACAACAACAAACAAAACAGTTTAGCAACAGTTCCTGGCATCCATTTTTGTCCATTTCTGGAATCTACTCTTCACTGTGCTAATTCTACGAATTATTTCCAAAGAAGAACACTTACCATTTTACGAGCTTTACATGACTGTCTCATTATTAAAAGTAAACACTTGCTTTGCAATCTTCCGCACCTAACATAGAAGGTTGAGGGAAATAAAGATGCTAAAGAGATAATTAAAGGCTAATTGCAACCATAACTTACAATCAGTGATCTGTCGTCTTCTTTTTATGGAGTTTTTCCACTTTTAGCATCTTAGTTTTAACTGCCAATATTCTAATTGTGTAGGAAGCAAATTAGGCAAAGAAAAGTTGCTTTTTTTAAAAGACACTATTCTGAACAGACCCCTACTTTTGCTGTCAAGGGCAGGGCTAGGAATTAAAGCTAATATGCTGGACACTGACAGACACGAAAAAACCCCCCAAAACCATGTTCTAGTGGAAGAGGCAGCATGTGAGTTGGACCTGGCTTACTCAACATCTGTATAGATGGGGCGCTTCACAGCAGGGCTTTTCTGGTGCTTTTATTCAATAGCTGATTGAATGAAAAAGCTAGTGTGGATCTCTACAATACTGTGAATATGGTTGCTTTAGACATGCCTGTTCGACAGACAGAAAGATAATCATTCTAGTGCAAATAGCTGACTGAATCAGCTATTAGATAAAAGTCGCACTGAAGCAGCCAATCTACACAGACGTCAAGTGAGCCAGGTCCAACTAAGGTGCTGCTTCTTCTGGGCACGTGTTGGGCTCGGTGCAGAGGTGCGCCAAGTTTAAAGGAAAGCGGGGGGGAGAGGAGGGCATTATGTCTTTAAGCAGCCACCGTGGCTTAGAACTCCCGTAAGGCAAGGCCACACAAACACATGCACATGTGTATCCACACAGAGCACAGAATTGGTTCTTTCCTCTTTTTCCCTTCATTTGAAAATGACATGGACCATGGGTTGTCAACTGCGGGTATGCACATCCCCGCAAGTAGTTGGGACGGCCCCAGGGGGTACATGTCATGGCGTGAGGAAGTGACGTGCAGCGGTGACACAGAGTGGCATGTACGAGCACACTGCCCCCTGTCATTAACCACTCCGTGCCACCGCCATGCACCGCCGGCTTCACATCTAGCCGGCTGTCAGCAAACCTGCCCCACCCCTGGAAGGGGTTATACTCCAGAAGGGGTACCCACCAGAAGGGGTACACTCCTTAAAAAGGGTTGAAAACCCCTGGCATGGACTAAACGGCCTTAGGAATGAAACCTATGAGCACACCTTTTTACTCTGTCATAGCCTGCATTCTGAACAGGACATCATACCCTTCTCATTCCCTCTCATTTTCTACTTTCTGTTAGATCACATGGAGTTTTGCTTCAGAAAGCAAACATCCATATAATCTTGGATGATTAAATATAACTCAGAATCTTTATTACCAAGTCACTCCAGCAGGATCTGAAACACTTTCTAAAAGGATTTTGCATCTTCCCTAGGAGAGTGAATGGTGGGGGTGAGCGAAGTGGACCCTATTCAATTCAGATTCAGCCCAAATCAGACAGTGATTTGATTCATTGATTCGGATCACTGTCCCCGATTCGATTCGGCCAAATCCAA